AAGCTGTTTTGATGATGTGGCATGTTCACATGGTCACATCATCTTGACCGCACATGTTACTTTCGCCGAATTCCCAAATGTATCCGTCTTCTGTTCCACACATTTGTGTAAAACTGTGTTATAATTTTACACAAATGTATGGTTACAAATCAAGGAAAAAATAACTTATTGGCATATCTGTGTGTATATTTATTAATTTTGACTAGGATTGCAGAATTTGGTGGTAATTTTATTTTTTAATTAACCCAAATAAGTAAAAAGCGTGAACCCAAAGTGATTATTTTTCAGTTATATATAAATAAAATGTTGAGTTTAAAATTAGCAACTATAATGCTAAATTATAAATCCTCTAAAAATTTTTAAAAGGTACATGTTACAATAATATGTGAATGACAAAAAAAAATTATTTTATTTAAAACATTTTGGCGTTTGAACATAAAATAAAAGTAACGAATATTCTATCAAGGGTATCGAAATACGTATACAATTTAAAAGACATAGTAAGATATTTTTCATTCTTTAAGCATAAGATTTTTTGCTAAAATCTATATTATTGTAGTTCAGCAGCTTAGAATTTTAAAAAAAGAAATTCATAATGAAAATTGCTGTTGTTAGTTATCGAAAAATAACCAAGGATGGATTTTGCGTAAATGTCACTAAACTATCAAATTGCTATTATCCATCACACAATAAATGTTTCTTTTATGCGGAAATGTCCCGTTTTTCGATTTGTATTGAACTGTCATGTGTGGAAATACTATCGAAGCGCTGTCAAGTGAGCTTCTGAATGTAAACAAAAAACACCCCATCTGGAGACCGAAGCTTCGAAGCAGTGCTTCACTCATAGTACCGGCTTGTTCCCTCCTTCCTTTCTTACGTCCATGGTTAACTATTAATGGTAATTTTTCATGAGAAGTATAGTCTAAAAATATTAGTTAAAGGAAGATGAGTAACAGCATGATGTCATTTATATTAAAAATGTTTAATTAATTATTAAATTGTAAAATATTTTCTTTCACCTTTGTTAATTTGATATTCTTTTAGTAAAAATTAATTCTTGTTTTGTTTCAGTTTCTTCATCTTCCTAGAGTGTCATTAATATTTTCACGTATTGTTGTTGATTTCATAGTTCATGTACTGAATGTTGATTTCATAGTTATGACGAATCGTGTCAGCTACATAACATTTCAGTAAGTAATTTAGATTAATTGGATTACGGTAAAGCAGTCTAGGCATTTCTATTTAATGGAAGGTATGTCTTTGTGAAAAGCTTTCTCAGGAACTTACTCGCATTCACATTATGCACTAAGAAAATCTGGAACACCTATCTCATTCAGTCAGCTCGCTCACCGGGTCGAAATATCAGTATTCGACTATTATTAAAAACAATATAGTTTCCAATAATATTTCCCTACTAAACTGGTCAACAGCGGCTGAGCGGCGAAGTCACTGAACACTGGTTGTTCGACCTGGTGAACAAGCTGACTGCACAAGATTTCGGAGATTTTTTTGAGTAATTTTCGCTGCAGAGGAAAGGAAAATCTCGTCTTTTGGTCAATAATGATTGTGTAATGAAAACATATTTGTTTTATACTTACCGATTCGCCTACTGGAAACAAATTATTTATGAAAAGGATATTTCTCCACCATTTCTCGTCACAGCCTCTTGCGTAGTCATAAGATATTGATGAGAACATAGGACCATTATTTAAAGTTTGCAGCACCATGACAAAAAATATAGCGTAGATATATGCTGGATATATTCTACAAAAACACATAATTTTAAGTCTGAAATGTCAATGCAATTCTAACAATGCTTAAGTATTACTTATTATTCTATTTTATTAGTATTACTTATTATTCTATTTATATCAATATTTTAAGGCTTAAGTATTACTTAAAATATTGATATAAATAGAAAACTTAAAATTGTAAATATTAAGCTGTCTTTTGGCAACTGTACTTATAATTCTTATTGCATACTGTTATCATAACTCAAGCCCACCAGCGCCGCCGAGCGGTAAAGTCGCTGAACACTGGTAGTTCGGTCCGAGGTTCGAATCCCGCGAACGGGCTGGCTGCATGGGCGGTTTCGTAGTTTTCCCCATGTGTAACGTGTATACGAGCCAGTTTCCCTTAGAAAGTCCCACGAAGGCATCCCTCCCCTTAGGCAGATAGCCCTCGAGGCTTTTCCATAATCACACATACACACACATTTATTATAACTCAAAGAGTATACTGAGATTATTAAACAGATAAAATATTGATATAAATAGAAAACTTAAAATAAAATTGTAAATATTAAGCTGTCTTTTGTTAACTGTACTTATAATTCTTATTGCATACTGTAGAATTCAAAGAGTATATTGAGATTATTAAACAGAATCGGAATGCAAATAACCTTGAAAATTGAAATAATATGCTTATAAATAATACATATTAACACTAGCATCGCAGCATTTTCGGTTTCCCTCTAAGTACGGTGAGTGGCAATTTAGTTAGTGGAGAATATTTATTATTTTTGAAATTTTTAATAAAATATATTAAAATTTAGTTCATTAAATTAATTTTTGTTACGAGATTAACAATCATAAAAAAATCTAGTTTGTTTTTATTTAACAGAACATAACAACAATTTCTCTATTACAATAAAAGTCCTCAATATTAATCTTATACGCTTAACAAAATTTTTTAAATTTAGATTTGGTTGAATAATATATATATTTTTAAATAACATACGAGTATATATAGAGTTTTAAAAGTAAAATAAATTGCTTACGTAGAAATTTAAAATTAAAATAATTCATCTTTGCATAAAATTAGTAACGCAACAACCTTGAGTTCGCTTATATTTAGTCAAGATCTCAGTCGATTTCAAGGGCACACAGGTACAGATACCTCATCGTCAGGAGCAAAGAAATCTGCAAGACTGCAAAGCAAGATCTTAGATCTTCGCTTTAGTAAAATCTGTACGGCCTGAAAAGGCCTTTTACTAGTGTCTGTTTCATAATTCCCTAGGGCTTCAAAAGAAGAAAAAAATAAAAGCCCAATTTTGGCATGTGGACCCTGGAACATGTTGGTAAAGACCGGCTTATAGACTTTCGGACTTTAACCGGTTAGCATGGCAAAATTTCTGCCCTAAGGTGATGGTAATAGTTTGTAACGGAAGCGTTAAAGAGCGAAATGGCGAAATGCAAAAGCACGTTTCAGGTATTCTGTTGGCCGTGGAAATAAAGTAGACTGCCTCATCTCTGTTGGGAAAAAAATTCCGGAGCCGTAACGCCACCTATCAGTAAAAATAGTAACGAAATTGAAAAATTAAGGTAATAGAATTTTAAAAGCGTTAGGAAGGACAGTACTGGACTTAACTAATCAGTTTACTAAGCAAATTAGATCTCTGTATATGTGGAAAGCTTCAAGAAAATCCAATTCACAATTGAGAAGGCTTTTTTTTTCCTTCCCTTTTTGCAGGCCCAGAGTCAATTGATGAATTGGATTAGAAATTCTCTGAGGTTTTGAGAGTCACGAATGTTTAAAATAATTTAAACACTTTAAGTAATCCTAATGTTTTCAAACAAACTCAGAAAATTTTTGCTCAACATCAAGAGTTCGGTACTGCTGGTATACATGTGACACATGCAAACTGACCAAAATTCAAGAAACATAGAGTTGTGAACACTTTGATATCCAATAGTCATTATGAATTTATGTATAATAACTTATTATTCGTAATTTTATCAATATTAGATTTGTACTCTTACCTCCACATACGATAAAATATGTACACGAAAACATTCGATTGTCGTTTCTTAATTTCAAGTTCTTTTACTCTCGAATAGCAGTTGAGCAATCCTCTGAAAATTTTAATAAGCACAATTTTAGAAAACATGAATGAAAAAAGACGTTTTACTTGATTTAGAAATAATAAATTAAAGTTTCTGGGTCATGAATCCTAAAGTAATAGATTTTTCACCAATATAGAGTTTGTTCACATGTTTTTTAGACGATTTTCATTGTATTTACAGAAATATTTTACCTAAACTTTTGTGTTTTAAATGTTTTGTTTTATAACAATTATTTTTAATATCTTTATAAACCATAATTTCCAAGACTTTGCAGTATCGGGAAAGGTATTTTATCTCATATTCCAAGGAGTGTTGTAGATCGACGTCTGGGCATCAGCTTTTTAACATTCGGAAAGCGCAAAAATCCATGGCTATCGGGAGATTTAGTAGGGATAATGGGTGATGAGCTACTTGCTTTGACTTGATGCAGTTCTACTGAGTGATGGCAATGTGGGTAAAGAGAAGATATTTCATATTTGAAAATCTGGGTTAACATATTGGTACGGATTTTGTATCTATTTAGTTATTTTTAGTAGAATTTGTAATTACAATTGTTTCATTTTCCCCTGCAATATTGCACGCGCGACAAGTTTTAAGCGAAACCTACGCCGAAAAAATAAAAATACAGGAGCGCGCGCATCTAACATTTAATAAATAGATATCTGGCAATTGTACGCTTTGCTATCTAATGTGATGAACAACCAAACTAAAATGTGATGAACGACAATTATTCGACTCCTGGATTTCGTTTGCTGGGTATTGACTTCTTTCCAGTCGTCCCAGGGAGAATGTATGCAATTATAGCGCTCTTTAGTCCAGGCTGTTATGGTATAACGAACAGCATATTTAACTGGAAGTTTAGAGATCTGTGCTTCGAATCACATAACATAATTTATTTTGAATGTTCCCACGTACAAAATGTCTAATGTCCCTCCTGAGGCATCTAGACTAAAGTGGTGGACTACAGTCCGTCGACAAGTAGATTTAGTTACTGGGTCTCATCTTTATTCCCAGTCATCTTCTAAATGGGAAAGAATATAGGCAATTATCGCATTCCTCCATACTTGCTGTTGTATTGTAACTAGTGGCATAATCAATTAGCATTTTGAAAATACTAGTTCAAATCTCGTGAAGAGCGCATCTCAGCCAGTACAGTGATTAGTGACCCTGACTGCGGTAGCGATGGGCCCGGATTCGAAACTCGGAGAATGCAGGGTTGTAGCTCTCCGTCCCATCAGGGAAGCAACATTGGCCACCTATTAGGTGCTTGCATGATGAAATGGCCTCCACTTCCGGCCTTGTTGTGACGCATAGCTATCAAATAAAGCGCTTGCCATTATATATAAAAAAAATCTCGGAAAGTACAGCTGAACTATTATCTTTCTTGGCAAAAATTATCTGATGTCTCTATAACCTGTTAAGTTTGAAAAGTAAAGGGCAAATTACTTTATCAAGAGTTGCTGAATTCTGCATTCGCAAATCTGTTGGATTAACAAAAACACTAATTCGAAATTTATTATAAATGATTCATCATGGATTATGAATTTCTTACCCTATGAAAAGAAACGTTGATACAGACAGAACTCCACTGGTGATAACTTGCTGCATTAGATGTGAAAAATAGTTGGAAAAGCTTCCATAAACATAAATTAAATTCCCTAAAACACAAATTACAGTGTCACAGTTAGCCATTTAATCACATCAATTGCATTTACTTACTATATATGAAATTTGTAGCATCAGTCAAGATCACTTAAACTCTTTATTAATAAAATAACCGAAAGAGACACTTATATTTTTCGATTTCGTAGAGTTATTTTTCTTAAATAGAAAATTAAAAAAGAATGTTAAATTTCGTTTAAACTAGGTAAGAAGTGAAGTGCGAGTAAAGCAAAATTTTAAGCAGAATATAATAAAAATTTCAAATATCTATCGTATGCTATAAATTAAAATTTGAAGTTTTAACTTTCGGAATGCTGTTGCGGACTATACAAAGTTTAGTATATTCTAGATTTACGGTAAGTATGCAAGTTAAGTGTTAGAGTAATAGACCTGATTGATGTTAAAATTCAGATTTCATTTTGTAGGTTTTATGTTCATTAATCTCTTAACCCATTAGTTTGCTGCACTATCACTTCTGCTTTCTTCGGCTCCCACCAGTATGCAAATTCCTTATATATATATATATAAACAGATTTCTAAATTTTAGTAGAAAGTCTTTTTTCAGTAACCGCTGACCGTCTTAATATCATTTTTATACATTTTCTAGTTTTATTTGAATCAGCTTTAGCCTTTGCTGTCTCCGCCGGCGTGCGTCGCGGGCCTGAGAGAAACGTACAGGCGGAATTTCACATTCTAATGTACTTCAGTTTCTTTCTAACGTTTGTGTTCTGTTATTTCCTGAATTAGAGAATACCTTCCCCCTTTTTCTATTTTTTTACACCAGCTGTGTAAGTTGTTAAGTTGAAAATCTAAAAAAGGTTTGTTTAAACCTTCTTCCCAGTTAGTGCTACTTTACTGGACGATCTAGAACTGTTCGATAAATCGCCTGGATGTCTATTCCGAAATAGAATTTAATACCAGTTGTTGTAGCAGATATGACCCGTACAACGTTTCCGGATATGGATGTTATTTTTTTTATTCTTATTTCTAATTTTAAGGAAAGAAATTTGCTTTTAATTCTCATTTTAAATCTGGAATCAAAGATTATTTGCATAACCCTTCGCTGTTCAACCTAAAAAACCAAAAGCTGATTTATAAATAAATATGCATAAAACTGAGAATAGGCAAGACAACAAAGATGATGAATAATAAAACTCTAAAAGTGCAATCTGTCATATTTTTTTTCATAGCATAATATTTAATCTGGTTTCCAAATGAAATTGGAATTCATTACTATATTACTTTGAAGTGGAAAAGCAGCGAGAGATGCCAAGTACGTATGAGAAAAGACAATCCAAGCCATGGCGAGAAATCTCATTCCATTCAAGAATGCGAAGGACTTATTTGCCACTTTAGTACTGAAGAGTTTCTGGAAGCTCGTTACGAAGGAAAATGCCATCAACAGTTTCAAAGTTTTACCTGCATGTAAATAAATAAATAAATGGGAGCAATTAATTTAGCTACAGAACAGAAAAGAAGAACATATTTCATCCATACAACAAATGCAAGGTCTATCAGAAAATATATACACTCTTTAAGAGATGATATCAGCTTATTAGTTTCAAAATTGTAGTCTAGAATAATGGAATCAAAATGTGTACTCGAGAAATAATCAAATCAAACTCATAACAGAATCAAAAAATTTTTATGTCATTAGTTCTTAATGGTAAAGGATAAAGTAGAATAATTAATGATTACTGGGGTAAAAAGTAAAGTTCTTTACATTCATAAAGTCTCATTGGATTCTCTGATCAGAGAACTTTAAAGAAGAGGCTATCAAAAATTTGATTTTAACATGTTTGCGTTGAGGCCAACAATAACCCAAATAGAAACGAATACTTAGGTTTGATTTTGGTACCTTAATAACCTAAAATTGGATAAAAGATAAATGTTGACTTACCCATGTATAGTGCCATAAAAGAATGTTTAACTTCTGCGCCTGCGGAACACGTATTTATTCAGAACATTAAAGGTGTAGTAAAAATTAAGACATATTTGGTCGGAAGAGACCTAGATAGCACCAGTCGCATACTGATATTCGCAAGTTCGTCGTCATGGAACAGAACATCGAAGGAAGTGAAATCTTGAAACAAAAGCCACTATTTAAATTTCGACGTCATGCTTGTAGAATATTATTGGTTTTGGTAGCAGAAAAAGAAAATTTCCGCAGATATTTTTAACAAAATGCTCTGCTTGATCGATCTCGTAACAGTGGCGTAAAAATTTATCACTGGATTTCAATTCTGAATTTAGAAATTCCTCTTCATCCTAATAGTGTATGAGACAAAAAAAAAGTAACTTGACGAATGAATATTTAACACACTCACAGGTATGAAAATAATATGAACAAGCACGAGTATTTGTTAATGAAAAATGTGGTGCCGAATCGGCGTAGAAAAAAGTTGCACGTCTTACAGTCTTCATTTAAGGGTGCGAGCTAACACTAGAGAAGAAGAGAGAGATGACCAAGCCAAGAATTATATTTTATGGGGTCTGCGATTAGCAAACACTTGCCTCCACATCAGAAATCGTAATGCAAAAAATTTGAAAATGCATAAAATTTAGAAATGGAAAAAACTAGAGGGAGCCACGCGAGAAAATTTAGGTAGAGGAAAGATATTAAGAACCATGAAGGTATTTTGTATTTTTAAGATTTTTAGAATTTTTTCGTTTGCTGCTTTTATATTTTAGAATTTTTTGTTTGTTTTTTTATATTTGGTATACACATTAGTTGACAGAAAAGCAATTAAAGATTAATATTTGGTGGCTTGGCAATAGTGTCTAATCAAAAGTTTATTAACCTTTTGAGGCCGGGGCTTTGGTAGCAGTAAAAGCTACCAAAGGACGGGGAATCTTGAGCCGAATGCTTTCCCCCCCTTTTAGAAATCACCTCCTATTTGCAACAAAGATTCTTGTGTGTAGTTTAATGTATTCTCAGAGGGGTGCATCTATGTCGCAAAAGGAAGACCTTTGAAAGAGGTAAGTGGTTAAAATCCCAGGGACATCAAACTTGACATTTCACATCATTTTTCAGCTCGAAAATGGGGGAAAAAGACATGGCCACTAAAGTGGACAACCCCGTCTTTTCAAAGAGAGGACTCTATGGCCACTATAATGGCCATCCCGTCTTCAAAAGGTTAAGTCAAAGTTCTCAAGTCATAAAGTTCGCGAGGAAGTTTCCAGGCCAGAATTTAATTCTGCGGGTATGATGTGATTCGTAGGGAACAGACTGATAACTATTCAAAGTGAACAAACAAACTGATATTTATGCGAAGAGACATCTTTTTCAAATCGTTGATGTAATAAGTAAAGATGGCATTTTTAGCATGTAGCAGAAGCTCCGGAAATGGCGACCATCATCGTTGACGTAGTTACAGGAACTGAAATGGCTGGAGGCTGGTTTCCTCTTTAGCAATCGGATAGATTCCATATTCTCGGCCACGGTCTGCTTATAGACTTTTATCCAATGCCCGTTGCCACAGTCGAAAAGGAGTTTGGAATGAAAATGTGAGAGCTTGCCTTCGCACGTAACATGTGTTTATAATATTGTCAATCATAATTTATTTAAGAAGAACGATACAGAATTTGAAAACGTGATTATGCTCTTTAAAATCAAACAATTTCCCCCTTTATGTAAAATATTATAAAGTTTAAAAATTAAACTATTGGGATAGTTAGGGGATTAGAACAGTTTACGTTGTACGGTTTCATGGTTAACCAGTTATTCTATTATTTTTCCTTTTAATGTTGATTGTATTCTAATGAGAACTTTCTAAGAAGAACACACTCTTTGAAACATATTCTCATATATAATGTAATGCATGAGGCAAGCCATAAAATAAACTATCATTTAGCTTATTTTGCGAGAAGTGAAACTTGGATGACCTATTAGCGTCAAACAACTTTATTCACTCAACCATTTGTGGGGGTTACCAAAGTAATTATATGTTTTACAGTCGGGTATACACAACGGAGCTCAAATGAAGTAGTAAGGTTTATATACTGGTTTATCAGTGTTATGAATAAAATACAGTATCTGTTTACAGTAAATACAAAGAATTATTAATTTCATTAAACTTCTTTCACTTACTTCTTATAATATTTTTGTGTTGTATACACAAGTGCATCGTTGTTGCAAAAGCTACCAAGAAAGTCGCTAGGGCATAAAAGAATCTGAAATATATATTAAAAACATTAAACTTCGTATTAAAGAAACGTTAAATTATAAGATCAATTTAGAAGCAGAAATAACTTATCATTTTAATATTTTATTATAAATATCATTTTAATATTTCATCGTTATCAGTAACAGATTTACAGGATCTTGCAAGTCGTAATGATGATCAGATTTTTAATCAATTTTTAAAAAAAATAAAAACACTTTGAGTGTTAAGAAGAAGAGAACCTCAGAAATGTTCCATTGGGATTATAGATCCCTCATTTTTGTAATCTATTATCGATAGTAATCAATAAACTTCTACATCCCTGGTTTATTACCTTATTTATACTTGGCGAATATTCCACTTATATTTATCTTACTTTCTTAAGCATAGTAAACAAATTAAGCTTTCTGTGCACAATTCAAATTTATAAAGCTATTTAATATTAAAATTACTAATTCCATACTTCCAATTATATTCGCTTTAGAAACCTGAAGATAAATTCTTTTGTTTTCATTACAAGTATAAAATGAAATTCCCTCTGAATACAACTTTTACCTCTGATAACCACCTTTACCCGGTCATGAGTTTTTTTACCCGCTATATTACATTGTGATTTAACACTAACATTACGGAATTTTCAGTTTCCCTGTAAGTGCTGTGTGCCATCATTTTGACTCCAGCTTAGTTAGTGGAATAAATCTGGATTTTAAAGAGTTTTTAATAAAATATTTGTAATTTAATTTATTAAATTTACTTTGGTTGCAGGATTAAAATTCTTCATTTTTTTAAAATCTGCTTTATCTTTTGTTCACTTTCATGGTAACAATATCTGTTTTTTAACATCTTTTCCGAACTAAGGATATCCATTTACAAAGTATTCATTTTTGTATCAGCTAAAATACAAAGTTTTTGCTGAATTGACAGGGATTTTTGTCATGAACTGAATAAAACAGCATCTTTTCTTTTGTAAAAACAAATGTTCATCAATTTTATATTTGCCTGTGCTTTATAACATAATAGACAATTCTCAATTAAATGGATCATCTTGCCGTCTAGTTTACTTCAAATCTAAACGCAAATATTTCATTTTTTACAAGAACGTGTCTGTAGGCATTGTTTTATTAAAGAATTCTATGCTCTAGGATTTGAATCATATACTCAAAATGGAAAGCCCGTTGGCGCTTACAGTACCACATTCATGTAAAAGAGGAATAAAAGCATCTAAATCATCAAGTGGCAAGCTTCAGTTTAGTTTTCCCGACTATTGATGTGCCTGGGCTTAAGTGCATTGTTGTATTTGATGCAATACGTTTTCATTGACAAAAGATCTCCATGCTCTACTTACGTCCCTATAAATTAATTTTCACTTACCAAACCTAGTTGGTTCATCTGCGTTTGTTTCGCAAACCATTTTGAAAAGGAATCTTTTATGTGAATTTGCTGAAATAATTTCCCTTTTCCATACTTACCATCATTTGATGTCTATTCATCTTTTGACTGCATCATTTCCAAATACATCTAATTTGTCTTAATTTTCTTATATTGGACTGTGGCTTGTTCCATATCTTTATCGGCTTTTTGAACCGCGATTACTCATCCTCGACTAAATGTTCATTCAATGTTAAATCCCTAACGCCCTTAATTATCTTATTCAAGAATTTTATTTTTGGAATCGATACAACATAGAACAAATAGAAGTAATTTGATGAATTGAGGGTTTCAATTATTGTATTTGTAATAATCTGATCTCCGTCAGGTGAAATAAAATAAATTCATGTGTTACCTTCTCCAGGAGAACTAATTTCTGAACCAGAATTGTCATCGGATAATTCTTGTAAACTTTTATAAAATTTTCTTCTCTTAGATATTTTCCTCCAACGGTGTTACATGATATGATTAATAGAGAAATTTTACAGATAAAAAGGGGTCAAGCCTAGAACAGTTGCAAGTGAAATAGAGGTGTAAGACTGAAGGAAGCTAAGAAGTTAATAATACATTTAGATATGATACATGAAACCATTTGAGGCAGTAGCAGTTTAAGAAGAGGAACTCACTTCTATTCCAACTAGTTAGTGAATAGCATCTGGCATGAAAGCAAAAACAAAACCCAAACAAATGGCGTCAAGACGTTGCTACACCAAGCCGAGTTAGACTTTTACTATACAGGTAAGAACACTCAAAATGAGTACTAGCCATAATTCTAGGTATATATAGCTACAATAATATAAAAAAATATTAATCATTTAAAAGCGGTTAAATAATTTATTTTGTAGTCTTCATATATATTTATGAAAAGCCAAAATATATCAAAGTATTTAAATATTTAATTATTATATTAAATTAAAAAATACAAACAATTAAACTTGTCTGCGACCAAAATGACCGTTCCCGTAATTCTGGTTTTAAAGAATTAGTAGGAAAATAGATGAAATAAAATGTAAATATTATGGGTAATTGATAATAACTTTAATGGAACAGGACGCAATTGATGATTTTCTTTGAAGCAAAGAATTGTCGATTTCAATTTTGCACAGAAAAGCGATATAAGCAAACTCTAAGGCGTGCCATAAATTATTAAATTATTTAATTTCTTACTTCGTTTAATGATGTAAATATTACCTTAATGGAAGTTTATAAAACAGAGACCAAAATAAATAAACGTATATATTTCGATAATAGAAGCTGTTTAAATATAGCTCTATATGAGCAGATCCGAAATGCCGTGCAGCTCATAATGTTAAAATCAAAATAAAATAAATACTGCAAGCTCTATAGAAACAATTTGTTTTTCAAGTATTTAACCCAAATCTGATTGTCAAAATATAATACATTACGATTTTGGGAAATACCGTATTCCAAAGAAACGCTTTAGCTTCAACGACGGGGGAAAATATACACGAATGTGTATTCGTGTAACAAGTGTAAGTTGCAAACCTGTTGATATTCATTTTCGTTATTCCGATGAGGAAAATGAGCACAAATTTTGAAATCGTAACATCACGGCCGCTCCTGGAAAAGCTAACATAGGCAGAGTCATAAGATGCCAATTTTTGGAGTGTGGTAGTTCTCACAAGTGATGACTAAACAAAGGTATATTTAGCTCTGAAATTATTTATGTTACTATACGGAACGTATAATTAACAGACGCCTACACCGGTAGAAATGTTGAATCAAGTTTGAGTGGTATTACACCATGAGAAACCTTCGAATACCGTTTTCAGCATAAATTGAATTGAAAAATAAAAACGGCATAAATTGATATGAGGAAAATTAGAAACATAACCTTTCAACTCCCAGTGACCGATATTATCCGTTAAGGAAGCAAGTAGTTGATAACGCATTGATATGTTGTGAAAGAAGATTTACATCGAATAATTTGCAAGTAGAATATTATTAAATGAGATATCATAGGAAGATAGACTCAAAAAATGATGCCTGAGGATTACGGGCTTGGAGTCGAATGAGACATCTAGGGACTAATGAGCAATTTCTCTACGCAGTACACTTTCAGACCATGAAACAAATGTCGAAATGTTTGATCTTCCTATATAGTTGGGAAAAACAGATAGGACTGCCTTATTTGAATATTTCATTCAGAACTTAACAATTTAGCTGATAGATTAATCATTTCGATATAATTATTCCATTTTGAACTTTATGCATCGAAAAGTGTCCAATGTACTACAACGGTAGCGCACTCGGCGCGTATTCGAGAGGTTCAGGTTTGAGTCCCGGCGAAGGCGTTGCCCATTTTTCACATCTCCCAACCGCTATTAGGTGTCCCGTAATCCCCAGTCACCCTTTAAAAGGGGAAGGCATTTTCTCCCTCCTTCCAGCCTGCTTTTGTGGAGTAATGGTAGCACACTGCGAGCATACTTCGAGAGGTCCAGGTTCGAGTCCCGGCGAGAGTATCGCTCATATTTCATGTACTCCTGCATCAAAAATCCTAATGGCTCTACAGTATAAAATTCAAATAGTTTTCTGCGACCGTTTGTAATAAAATCAAGTAACGCTCTCTATACAGACTCTTCCTGTATTCACCACTTAAAAAAAAGCGTTCTACCACTCTTGAAACAAATTCCCCTTTTCCAGTGACTCAATTTACATGTAACGATCACGTCGGGTCTTGGATTTAAACATACGTTTTTTCTCACCGGACTGCAGGCCGTTAACTATAAACAGATGATGTATGTTACAATCAAATAACATAAATATAAGGAGCGTATAATAATAACTATGTCTCTAAATATAATAAAAAAGAGTCTGTGTGTCTTTTGTTCGAGATGCGCGTAAGCTAATAGACCCAGGACTACTAAATTAGGTATATAGGTGCATCTATACAAGAGCCAGTGCACCTCAAAACGATTTTTTCAAAATTGGAATCCGATTTCTTTTAATTTTATCTTTTCGATTTTGTCGCATCATTTTGAATAGTTTCATTCTTTTAGAAATGTAGTTTTTGCAGCATTTTTTCATTCAATTGTATACTGGACTGCTGACTGTTGAAAATTAGCACTGTTCCCACTTGGAAAATGAAGGAGAGTGCAGTTTTTAAACTTAATGTTTCTCTTGGATACTGGACGCTTGTTGAGAGAAGCAACGGCAAACTCGTTAATTTATTTATTAGGATAATTAATATTTTTATCAAAAGATATTGCTTATTTTATTGTAATCTTGTTATTTGTAATATATTAAAAATTTTTTTAATGAATTTGATTTACAGAGTAAAATTCTACGCAGTTTTTAAATTTAACATCTTGTGTTCCTTTCAGGCATTTTTACGGTACATTTAAAAGCCAGACGAAGGCTGGCCGCGTAGCTTCTAGTTATTAAATATAAGAACTATCATGAACTTCATAATAGAATTAATATTTACTTCAGTATTTGAAGTATATGCATTAAACGTAACTCAATACATTCCTGTATACAGTGTTTTGCATTATCTTTTGTGTACATTTCTTTATATGTCTCCACATCCTTGCTAAAATAGAATTGCTAGCAGTCTTATCGAAAGGAAGCTGACATTCTCCATTAAAGTTCTTTCTATTCAAAAGAGCAAATTGGTACATTTCTTAAAAATTTCAGGCAGCGGTGAAAATACTTTAGGATTCTGATTGGTGTAACTATAAGGAAACACCCATAAAGACCATAAGGAAAATACAACAAAATGTCATTTTCTAGTTTTTGTCATGTTACCATATTTAATTACATATATAAAAACGAAAAAAAAAAATGTATCATTCTGAACTTACGTAGAAACTATGAAAAAGGTACTGTATTTCCGTCCTCGCTCTTCACAAGTTGCAACTTTCGAATCAAAATACAGAGTATCAGCAACTGAAACGAGAAAAATTATACCTTTAAATACAGTTAAAATAAAAGATAAAAATACATAAGCTAAAAATATGGAAAATATTCGCTTACAATATTTAATGAACTGTTCCAAATCATCTTTACTGCAGCCTGAAGGAATGCACATTCCAATGTTTATTGATCCAGTGTAAAATAAATGAGCTCTGGCTGCTATCATCTTTATCAAGTCCTTAAAGAGTCAAAATAATGTTTTAATGTGATCATAAGATGCATATATAGTGATACCAAATTCATTCCTAATTGGTAAACTTCAGCTATGTATTAACACTGGCTGTAAATGGAATCTTATGTAAGCTTTGGTGCGAGCTTCTTATTAAAATAACAACGTATTATTTTTTATACTTATATTTGAACAAAGGTGATTCCATGCCATGCTTCCTCGAAGATACATGCAGTTTGTTTTCTAAAACACTGATATAAAATTGATGATTAAATTTAAATTAAGTATTCTCGCCTATACGCATACACATACATGAAATTTAGTGACTTACACATTTAAATCTGCATATTAGTCATCAGAGCATAAATTTGATGGATTTTGTTTAGAGCTAACTTAGATTTTCTTTAGCATTTAATTTATGTGTTCTTATGCATTTGCCAATTTCTTTCAAATATCAGCATCAGCAAAACATTTAATTTAAAGTAACTATATATACCTGAGAGACCACAAGGTCTAATTAATCAAGCTACTTTTTAACAGACGAGGATTAGTTATTAACGACATCAGTATTCAAACTGAACTTACACATCGGTGAAGATTTAATTGATCGTTTGATTTTAGGTTTGAATGCATATAGCACAGATATCGCGTTGCGTTCGGTCGAAAATACCTTTAAGGTGGACTATTTCAGAGATGATGGAATAACCGTGTATGTTAATATAAAGTTTTATGGATGTTCCTTGAGGTATTACTTCCGATGCTTCGGGCCTTGAAACAATAGGTCTGGTGCTTCAGGTGTTGAGACGGTGAGTTAGTTGTTCAGAAGATGCGACTCTTTTTGTAACTAAAAGCTAAAGTCCTGCAGACCTTACTAGACTAATAAAATGTTGTGTCTTAACTATAATTACATCACTATATTTTAAACAACTCAAATAGTTCTGAAGAAGATTAAAATAACCTTTTGATTTAACAGACAGGCACAATTTGTGCTATAGACGAAACTTCCATGCCTTATAAGATTTAAATAACAAAAGATGCATTCCAAATATAAGTAACGGTAACTTAGTTGAAAACTATACATAAAATTGACGAAACTAACCTTGAATTTTATCGGTGCGTATTTTAAAACATCGACTGCTGAGGTGCTATAGCCGGGAGATACTTTAAGCAGGGAGTTGGCAGAAATAACTATCAGCAAGGCGCGGTTGCTAGAAGCTTTAATTTAAATATGAAATGATTCTCAACTTAATTGCACACAAATCTAATTTGGATTCTGGTGAGAAACACGGAAAGGAGAAGTTATAATAAATTATAATAGTGTCAAATATTATACACTACAGTATTAAAATATTTTATTAAGTATTATAGTATTAAAATAATTAGTTAACATAAGATACCGCACAGTGAGTTGAAAACCATGAATCAGGTATTCAGATATTGAAACGATTGATCATGATTTGCATCTTTATCGATAATAATCTCTGTTGCAATGATTCATCTTTTGCTAACGTATTTCTGCTTAATGAATGAAGAAATGATGAATGAAATGGTCTAAATTGTATATTCTGTCAATCTAAATCCCATAAAAAGTGTTTGAATGGCTTTAAAAGTCTTACTGCATAACGCAGTTCAAAACTTAACATAAAAAGAAGTATTACTAGTTTAAATCAGGAATAGGGAAACGTGGCTCAGAATCTTTCGAACAAATTTCTTAAAAGAATGCATTAGCAAATGCATTTATTTTTCACAGTCAAGTGATATCAAATTCTCGATTTGAAATTGTGTTCTCCTTTGCTTAGTGACAGAACTTTCCTTTTGTTGACGTATTGACGTTGTTTTTGTTGTTATTAAATATTTAGTTCGGAACAGGAGACGGGAAAAGTCAGCGATGCCTTAGCTGGCATACGAACAACGAACCTTCCGGATGATAGCTGGGCGTGCATCCTATTACACCATAAAGACACAAGATAAGAGCGAAGAAAATTTATTGTATTCTCAGCCATTTAAAAAGCAACTGGGGATGAGAAAACCAGTTTCCAAATCCAAGAGGCAACGAATGTAGAATAGCTCCACCTGTAGAATCTTTAGAATTATGGAAAAATATGAGGAATCAGACACGCCCCTCTCAGGATTCGAACTATGAACCTTCTGATTGCTATTCGGGAATGGCTACAATTACAACATGAAGGCACGCCGTAAAAGGAAAAATTCCTTGCTGCTTCGTCTTTAATTATCAGTCATGGAATGGTTTGTTCTCCTCTGATTAAAGAAATAAATTAATGTTTCATTTTACGAATATATTTATATATAGTTAGCCCTTAATTTATAAACTGCATTTCTTCATTCAAGTATGCAGCATTCTATAGTTCATCTATATGTATTTCCTAATTTGGCTTATCATTTTATGAAGTTTGGAATCGTTTTTGGTATCAAATAAGTCAAGAAGAAAAAGTGAATTAATAAAAGTGTTCATTGAAAAAACAATTGCCTGCCACATTGTTTTGGCTTCTATATTTACCGTCTGTATCTTTTACGACTCTGTCTAGAATTATGTAAGATTAAATGAATTATAATTTTAAAACTTCCTTTAGAATAATTTGAAAGAAATTTCCAGGGGCGGTCAGATAGCTTCTCTGCAAAGCAAGTTTAGGGTTGCATAAAATGTCAAGGCAAGGCAGAAATGTCAAGCGAAGGCGAGAAATCGCTCATTTGGTGATATTTGGCGACACAATTGGCGATATGCCATAGACGGATGGAGAACCTTCTGGAACGAATTTTTATGGGTTTAGCCTAGAATGTTCTCGAAGACGAGCCGAAAGCTATATTCAGTGCGGAGTTAGTGAGGGTCCACTGAATTGATAGCCAGTCAGTGAGTGCCGAGTTGGTCCTTGAGTGCAGCGAAAGAATCTCTTAGTGTATCGCAGTTAGTGCATCGTCGAGACAGTGTGTTGAGCTCCGGGAACGACTGAACCGAGGAGTCAGGAGCTGTACTTTAGTTTATCGTCGAGTGCATCGCGAGTTGTAGCGTGGAGAGTCTCGAGAGTACGTGGAATTCCGAGAACGGCCGAGGGGTGTCGGAAGCTGTACTCTGGTGCTTTGCAGTGAAGCTGTCTGTAAAAATGTTTTGGAGCTGGTCCTGAGAATACTGGCTAATAAATTGTGTTTCGATATTTCATCATGTGGTGTTCTCGTTATTCACTCTAAATCAGCACGAACCCCGTACGAATGTGAAAAGAAGAAAAATAACGCTAACAATACCTTCTTCAGATACAGGCATTATATTTGAGATTTGAATATTAACAAAATTATTATATACATATAATTACTTACTGATCCAGTTTTTGTAGCAGCCATTAGTCCTTCTATTTTGTCTGCAAACGAATATACTTTCTTTTCCTTAATGGGTAGCACAGGTCTAAACTCGACAACGCAATACTTCCCTCGAAACATAACATCCCCTTGACCTCCAAGTTTTGATTTCGTGGCAACTGCATTAAGACAACCGTCGTAATTCCCAAATGCTGAAAGAGTACCACTAAGAAAACCGTCGATTCCTTTGCCGGTTGAATCCACAACTAAATTTCAAAGATAGACATTTACAATTCATTTTATACTTGAGAATAAAAGATATATAGCCTACATAATTTACAAGTAAATGTACCCAACTAAAAAAATTCTACGTTACTGAAAGAGTAGTGAAAGTAAAAAAAAAAAAAAAAAGTGAAAATGGTCCTGATATCCAATTCTAATAATTTAGACGTTGCTGACGCAGTAGAGAAAGAGTAATGGGTGTTTAGGTTTTTGAGATTGAAAAGCATTTCATTCAAAGCGCAATAAAAATTACATCAATTAAGAGAGAAAATACAACTCTTGCATAATTTTGAACTGTGTTACCTAGGAAACCAGTGATTGTACAATATTTCAAACTTAGGTTATACTTTACTTTGTATACTGCCCGTATTGAATGTGAGACTGAAGATGACATGCATGCGTACTAGTGATATTTATATACAGAATATCGTATTCAGAAATGTCCTATTTTGAAATGTCATTACATTCAAATTAACGCACATAAAATGAAAAAAGTGCTTTATGTAAGAAGCCTAGCTTATTAAATTGATTACAATAAATTAGTGTATTTCTATATATAATTCTTTTGTGATACGCAGAAATTCTAGTCTATAGTAGAGGTTACTTTGCTGAGTACAGGTAGTTCTATTCGTCGCCGCGATATTTGATCGAATCCTTGGAAGTATATAAAATTAATCTTACACACAAAGAAAATCATCAAACACAGACACACAGACAAACATCATTACAAAAAGTAGGCAAAACATGCTGTGGGGATCATAATTCATGATTATGCCTAGTCGTTATCGAGTTTTTGTGCTGAAAACATTACCTTTCTATAACCTCACGTACTTTAACGAGAGGTAAAAAATTATTTACAAAATGTGTCATCTGAATTTGAAATTTCAATCAAAATGTGTTATTTGAACTTTGTGGCAGAAGGCGCAACGCTGAAAAGCCCGCAGGCGGAAGCAACAGCCATTTGATAAGAGAAATATTTTGATACACTGCCGTGTAAACTAGTTTTTCGATTGAACATTGTTTATTTGCTGCGTTTTTATGTTCAAAATGAATAATACTTCAGTTTCTTCAATCTCCAGGGATATTACTGACGATGCAGCTATAGCTAAAGAGTAAGGTAAGTTTTGCTTTATTTCATGTAATATATCTTTAATATGTTTAAATGCATTGCACATATTTAATGTTTATGTTATTAGAGCAGTACGTAGGTAGCGGAAAGTTTTTTTCGAAAATATTTTCATATAAAAATATGTTAACATTCAAGAATTAAGATAACTATGATGAATGCTACCATTACAGCTAACAAATATGTTCATATTAGCAATATTGTACTAAAATTCCATTTTTAGCTAGTGAGTCCATGGATGTAAGATTTGTTAATGCATATATCTGCTATTCTAACACATATGAGTTTCTTGTCTCTTCTCTTCCACGTGTAAATTGTTCACATTAAAAAAGAACTTAAATTGACATCTAAAGATCCATTTGGGAGAGAAATATTTTCATAGCGTGGAATGTGCTGAATGTGCTGTGCTTTGAAAAGTGATTTAAACAAGCATATGGGAACATATGAAGCATACTGAAACAAACACCCATTCAATCTAGTATGTGTTCCAAATGTTTCACTCGCAATGAAAATTTAGGAGTTCATTAAGTTATTCCCTTCCAAAAATTTACTTGGGCGATACGTTTACAAATATCTTAAACCGATGATTTGAATAATCCCCTGAAATCGCATGAAAGGACATCTGCCAAATTTCCAAAGAAATTCAGTGAATTTGTTTTTCTCGAACGTCATGAAGCGTCTCATCTTGGAAGTTGTGCTTAACATTCGAAAGCTTATATAAATCAAAAAGATTTAAGAAGACATATGAAAACATACAAAGTTGTCTTTAACTGTAATAACAGCTCAAAATATTTCAGCTCAAAGAATTTCACACGAAAGAGCATGAAGCTTCTCTTGTTACGAATTGCGTCCAATATGCACAAGAGATTAAAGGGAAGATTGATCTTATACGTCACGTTCGAGGTGAAGCATGATCCGTGCGAACCTTGGGAAAACGAAGGAATGCTGACACTGTCAATTCATGTACTCTAGCTAAAATCACAAATCTTAAGGGCAGGTTCTGAAATGAGTCTAAGATTCATACAGGTCACCAAAATTAAAGAATAATTAAAACAGTATGCTCATCAAGTCAATGCTGTAGCCAATGTCCAATGTTGTAATTATTTATGTTAATTGAACACAAAATTACACTTCCGCGCATACGTTAGCGTTGGAAATATGCAAATTAAGTGACTGACAATGTTGTTCGCCATGAACGAACGCATTTTGGAATTCTGGTCTATAGTATTGTTTAACGTGAAAGTGGTTTCTGAAAGTGATCAGCATTCAGTAGTTATGGCTCAAGGGCATCATTTAAGTGACGGTCCAAAATGGCGAATAATTGATAGAATCGAGTGATGTCAAACACAAATCGAGGTCCCCCTAGATTTGAATATCCCTCAAAGTGTCATATAAAGAGCTTGGAACCGTTTTTAAGCCCTGGTTCAGTTGATAGACAACCTGGTAAAGGACCACCATCAAAAGAGAGGTTTCTGCCGTTGTCCGGCTCGAAGAAACCGCGAAGCGGCTATAAGAGATTTGGATTTAGACCTTCAGGTTGCCACAAGAACTCAAATTAGCCGTTCTACTGCTGCATGAAGGCTTAGCGAGGTAGGATTGTATGCCCGAAAACCAGGTATTTGTGTCTCATTTATTCCACCTTTCAGAGGAGCCCGTTTAATCTGATGCCATCATAATGCTCAAAGGAGCCAGGATGACCGGGCCCGAGTATTGTTTACTGAGAACTCCAAATATAGACTGAAACAGCTATTATAGACGTGTTTTGATCTGAACAGAGTAAGAAACACGCAGCTTTACTTTCCCCTTTCCGTGAAATATCCCTTTTTCACGACCTCGATTCAATGTTTTGTGCAGCAATTATGACAAATGGCCGCACCGAGCTGCATATATTTTAGAAAGGTCAGAGATATGTGAACTAAGTAAGTACTGGAACCCCAAGTTAGACTGTTTAGGGATACTGTTGGCCCAGAGTCTTTTGTTAATGGATGACAATGATCTTCCTTATATATATGGTATCATAATACTTGCAAACAGAAGTTATCACAGTTAATGGTACATATGAATCAACAATTATATATGTAGTAAAATAGCTGGAATGCAAAGAAAGTACGAGGGCTAAAATTCCTAAAATGTACGTTCATTATCACCGGGAAATAAATTTAAGTTAATCAAAACGAAGGAAAAGAAAGATCCGCGAAAGATGAAACTAGTGTTAAAGCAAGGGAAGGAAGAATTAGAATAATTCATTGCGCACTATCGAATGACAGGCGAATTCTCGCTGCCAAAAGAACGTTCTGTTTTTAAAGAAAGACATTTGGAAGAGCGTATGAGTTTTGCAAAATCTTAGAATGCCGAATACAGTGCGAAGTATTCAAAGAAACGGTAAAATGATCTCTGGAGCCATGGAAAAAATTAATTTGTTTGGAATGGATCGGAAACAGCTTGTTCTCTGACCTCAAGCCCAGGCGCATAATTCAAAACACATACGGAAAATCATTATAGTTGGAGGTTGCGCTCTTACGTTGTGAAATTGCTTTTCCTTTTTTGCTTTGGCATTTCCTTAGAGATGGTATCGTAACCAAAGAGAAGTATGTGGATATTTTAGAAAATGCAGTGTTAAAACGCATGTCACTGAAAAGGCGATGTCATTAACGATGTTGCAAAGCTGATGATAAACTGGTTCTAAAATAGGATTGACACTCTAAAATAGGATTGACTCGTTCAGTTCTCAGACCTGATTCCATTTAAGACTGTAAGACATGAAACAAAAAATAAACATCGTCAAACATCACATTTGAAGGAATTTTGGAGAATTGCATCCTATGTATTTCATTTTATTACTGTTGGAAAATTGAAGAAATTATTTGTCTTTATATCAAAGAAAATCAGCGTGATATTTAAAAACAAAGGCATTGCAACTAAATATCAATAAAAGAGTTACATTTTTGTAATAATCAAATCATTTGCTTTCAATAGCAAATGTAATTTCTATTTTTTATCTAATGCAAATTTATGATATTTCAGATATTCAGAGGAACATTCCTATAATTGGTGATAGTACTTACAGACTCAATTAATTGGGTCCAAACAGTGCTCATTAACCATGAATGGAAAACGTAAAACTGTCATGATGCTTAAATTTCTTAAATAAAATAACAGGCAATTCCATTTTTTGACAATTGGGGTATATTAAAATGTCTATTCCTCGAATTATGCGTTATTAAGCTATGCATTTTGATGTTTTCTTAGTACGTTAGTTAACCTTTCTTGATACTGTATGAAAAGCTTTGGATAAAAACATGTTGGAAGCAGTCACGTCCAACGAATCTGTAAGAATTTAGCATATTTTAAGAGTGCTTTTCAAAAGAAAATATATTCAGTTATTCATAATATAGGTCCGAAAATCCATGCTTTATTCAAATACATTTTTATTTACTAATTAAATATCATGGGCGCCCCGGTAGTTTTATTACCTTTGTTATTGAAAAAAAAGTATGATTTGTTTTCAAATATAGTTATTAAATGTATTAATTTATATTTCATTTGAAATTTCACATCTTTTTTAAGCTCAAAGTAAAACAAATTTTGCTAATATCTGTTCTTTTGAGGAGTAAGTAAAAAAAGATCGCATTCATTTTAATGAAAGATATTAAACTCTCTCTGCCCCTCCTCCTCCCTATCAGACTTAAAGTGATTGTAATAATTTCGAAGAAATTATTCAGTGGTCAAATGATAAAACAGACTAATATAAATCACATTATTATTTTCATATAAGAACCAATGGTCAAGAAGTAAGCTTACTCTCCTTTACGTTTATACATAGGGGTTAAATCCAACGGCTGAGTTCGGCATGACGATTAAGTGATACTTCAGGCTTGGGCTGAATTGGCAAAATTTATAGTTGTCGAACTTATATTACAGAAATAGTGACAAAATTTGTGTAGGCCTTTCTCATAATCGCCGTATTTGACTTTCTTCTGAAGAACAACATTTTAATAAAGCTATAATAAACTCATGTACTTATGAAGCGTATTTAAGTTTCTTCAACTTACATACACTTCACAAGTTAGTTTTTTAAGTGCACTTCACAATTAAGTTTAATTTTTTTTAACTTAGATAAATTTCACAAATACATGAGTGAAATAATGATGAAATATTAAGAAAACTGTAGATAAATTTAGAAACAGAATAATTTAATCTTTTGATCCAATGAATATGTATGATAAATTATATCTCTTCTTTTCATTCACTAATATTTATTTTATGAGTTTTAAATAAAATATTTTTTAAGAAATGAATTCTGTATATTAAAGACTTTTCTAAGCTCCAGTCACGAAATATTGAAATCTTCAGAATTTTACTTTCTTATGCATATTTTACAATTTAATATTTACTTAAAGTACAAAAATATGTAAAATATTAAGCTTATGAGCTGTTAAATTTTCAGTAAAATTAATTCTTATTAATTCTGCCTTTCTGTAAATTTTTCTTCATAAATTAATTTTACTCTACATTATGCAGTTTAGAAATTATAATCAATATAAATACATACAAATGTTTAAAATTAGTGCTTCAAGTAGCGAATTAGAGTTGCCTCAAATCACTGATTAACGCAGTTCATTAAGAAAGTTGGTTGATGTAAATTTATCCTTACATACTATGATTCTAAAGAATTAATTCTTTAAAAAAATTTAATTTAAAAAATAACTTTAGTAATTTTTATGTGAAAGTTTCCAATATTCTAGCCATTACTTGATGAAATCTCCTTATAACACCGACTTTACCAATTGAAACGAAATTTATATTTGAAAAATACATTGTTACATATGTTATAAATAATACTTCCTGCTGCAATATGTTCTGTTTTTGACTTACTGATGTTAGATACATGTACATAAACGTTTATCTGTTGTTACATACAATGAGTATTAGCGCAATATCAAATTCAAGCATCTAGAAGTAATTGTTCAGTGAATTTTAAGATTGTGATGTTCTCCAGTAAATGTGAAATTTTCACGATTTTGATAATATATTTACATTATATTTAGCATTAGTCAAATGTAAAATAGAAAATGTTACGTATTGCACTCACATTCGATAGCCCATTCTCTGAGATTCCTTAAACCAATAGCGAATTCGAAGCCTTGTTTCCTGCAAGTTGACGTTAAATTCATTTTACTTGTCGCTCTGATTATCTGTGGTAGAGCCATTTTCATTCCATAATTCACAAATTCTTTAAATTTTTTATCCAGTTTATGCCATTTGTCGTAAACAATCTCGTTTCCCAAGGGTTCTCCGATGTCATTTGTGAAGCTTAAACTTTCGGAAGCAGCTATTACAGCAAACGCCAAAATAACCTTTAAATCCATTGTACATCAAAACTAAATATAATCATCTGGCACTTGAACAAATGGAGTTGGAATTTAAGTCCTTCAAATGTTGATATGATTCAAGTGAAGTCCAATACGTATGTAGTGAGTTTTCGTAAAAGTTAAATTTTCATGACTTTTCTTCAATGTAATCATTCTTATCATTTTCGAATCATTGTTTTTTCTTCCGTGAATTAAGGAAAGTTATTACTCTTATCTGATGCTAAAACGAAAGAATAATTGAATAATTAGCTTACAATAATAAGTATTAAATTTTCATTATTATGCCGCATTTGAGCTTCGGAAATTTAAAATGATTCCTAAGGGTAAATTATTTTGTTTTGTACACGTTGAAAGGAAAGATAGCAAAATTTGTACTCCGTAGAAGGTAGGTTCCTTTAAAAATGTTTCAAAGTAAAAGGTTCAAGATAAAACAACCTTGAGTGAAAATAGAGATACACATATCCTTTTTAATCCTTCTAAGAGTAATTGGAGAAGCTAACTTTTTTTCTATGGTTTTAATGAGTTCAATCTTTTCTGAACTCGTTGAGGACTCGGTGCAAATGAACGGACAATGAATATGGGCAGTATGTCTGATGCAGTATAATTTATTTAGCCAATCGATCTAAAATTTTACAAACCGAATAAAATTGGCAAATACGTATGTAGCGTGCAGAAAAACGGTCGGCAGTTTTGAAAACAGTCTTGGGTTACATGGAGGCTTCATTTTGTGCAAAGTATTTCCAGAAGTCTAAAAAAGGCATTCTAATTCAATTGCTAGGACGTATAGACCGGAGACAAATCTTGACATGTTTATGCAGCTAATCCGTGCACTTGTTTAGTTCGATTCGTTGTTGGACTGGTACAGGTGCATTTTTGTAGCACTGTTTTTGCATTCCTCTTGATACGAGGAGCAATCATTTTCTTTTTGTGGGAAGGGGTTATGTTCAGTGTCTGTTAAGAGTATTTTATTTCACTATTTCAGTTTCCACATTTGTTCTGATATTTGAAAAAGCACTATTACTGATTACAAAGAAAAACGTCTCAGGTATAGTAACAAACTTAAATATTTATTGAAACTTTAATATTTACGGAGTGTTTTGAGAGATTAACCATTTAACCTCGATTTGAAAGTTTAACCATGTCATAAACAGGTGGATTGACGAGACATAAAAATTCCTGATGTGGACATCACATGACTTCCTTGTATGTTCCTTCCTTCCTATTAAATTAAACAAATTTTTTGCTGCATCTCATTTAAATTTATTTTTTTTGAATTTTACTAGAGATATATTTCTTATTCAATTAATTCAGTTCTCATTTCTCCGCAAACCAAAAATACATAAATACTTACAACAGATTTATTAAAATTGTAAAATACAGAAAAACATAAAACACCAAATACAGTTAAAACAGTTTAAAAAATTTTACAATTAAAATTAGAATTTCTGCGCAAAACCAAGCAATTCGGGCAACATGTAAAAAGGCAGATTTTTCGGTGTACAAAACTAAAAGTTTACGTTTGGTTCGCTTGGCAGAAAGAAATTGAAGGTGCAGAAACTGACTGAATGCACTATTCTACTCAGTTTTAAATGCAAACAAATAGAGGTTCTTTAGGCTTAACTTGCCACATTTAAATTGTTGATAATTTTACAACTATTGCATACGGATTAAGTAAAGGCATAAAAACCTCAACCGGAACATAAAAAACACACAGTTCAATCACTAACCCAAAAATGCATAATTTAGCAATATATAAGAATGAAAAAACTAAGCTCACCGAGCCAAGTAACAGAAGATGCACAACTAACATTTTGTAGCAGTCCCATTTACAAAATTGCAATGTTCTACGGCTATGCGTTCTTGAGTTACCTATGAGTACATAGCTACGTACGTACAGATGTCTACATCTTCTGAATAAGTTTTAAATCCAATTTACAATCCTTTTGGCAAAATTAGTCCTTTATTCTGTCTGTACGTACAAATGTCAAGCAAAAACATGGTTTAAATGGTTTCAAGAGCTATTTAAAGGGGTATTTTCGTTAAAATATAGTACCCTAAATTTTTCGCAATTACAAAACTTCCTTTACTTCGTACAAAGAAGTAAAACACGTTCTTCAAGGACGGATTAAACGTCCTTTTTACCCCAGATAAGTATGTTCAGTTACATGAGGACTATGATGAAAAACATCATTGTAATATGGAAGGAAAATCATACCTAAATTCTTAAAATAAATTTAAAAAAATTAAAACATTACAATTAAATTCGAGAGTAAATCAGAAAAAAAAAATCTGAATACATCAGATTGATCAAATTGAAAATTTATTCGACATAAACGTAACTTAGGAGGAAAAAAGCACCATTACTGATTACAAAGAAAAACGTCTCAGGTATAGTAACAAACTTAAATATTTATTGAAAACGGAAAGAAACTTCCTCGTCGATATCTGAAAAAGTGTTTAGCAGTTCGAACAATACTTAAGTTTATCCTCATCGATTAACTTCCTAAGTTAATAATCAAACTGTATTCATGAGACCCGAAGTTTTGGAATTCATTTAAAAGCAGTATCAATTGAAATGACTCACTTTCGAAAATTAAAAAAAATTGCCTATTTAAAAACCAACTTGCCAGAAGAACGTTAAAAGCAGTATCTTTTTTTAAGTTAACTGGCAAAAATTATGACAATTATGTAAAGTTGCTTAAATATCGTGTTGGTCGTAAAGATATCATCACTGATTCTTTTACGAATAATATTTTGAACTTGCAAAGTATTAAAATTCTTCAAATGTTCCGACCTTCAGAAAGGTATATGATGAGCTCGATATCGCTGTACGAAATGCAGATTCAATGCAAGAGGATTCAAAATCCTACAATCCAATTTTGATTTCAATTGTTCCTAAATTTATTGTCAGAAAATCTTGTTTTAGATTTTAAGCGAAAGAAAAATTCAAAAATGTGATGTTAAGATTTCTGATTTTTTAAAATGTGAGAATGAATGTCTTAACGTGAGAGAAAAGATTGAAATTATTGCTAGACATCCAAATATTATAATGGATTTGGTCATTTATCTAAATTTTTCCGTTCAAACATTGCGGACCTAAATGTTTATCTCTTGGAAATTTCAGTCATGTATTCTTCACGAGTGCTAAAAAGACTCAGAAGCAAAATGCTGAAAAAAATACTTCAACAACTGAAAAAAAAAACTATTCCATAAAGTAATCCAAATTAATGCTACATCATTTACAGCTCTTGTGTTACCGGAAGTTACAGTAATTAGTCACATTGTTTATAAACAAATAAGAAATCATTTTTAAATGCATTTCATAATATGTTGACTGATTTCGTTTATGACATCAAAAATTAAGCCAAAGCGTTGTTACACAAGTGACATTTTAACAGACACGGAAGTATTTAGGACTAATATTGTAGAAAGTAATATAATGCTGTTCAATGCTACTATTGGCATGTAAATCCTTTAAGTTGATGAAGTTTAACACAATATAAACAAAGGTGGTGTTCGTATTTTTAAATTTTAAAACTACAAATACTGAGCTGACTATTAAAGTGAAAAATAAAGCACTTATTTTTCACAGATCTAGACGATACCATTTGTCAATACATTGTGAATAAACAAGTACAAACTTGGTTCACAAACGGCATAATTGAACCGTTTTCGTCCGAATATTCTAGTCAAGTCGTGGTAAGAAAAACAAAGATGGTAGCCCTATAGTATAACCGTAAATTAAACAAGACAACCGTTAAAGATCGATATTCCTTGCCGTTAATAGAAGATTTACTGGATAAACTGCGGCATGCTCGTATGTTGATTACCATTGATTTGAAAAACGATTACCCATCGATTACTACCATCGACGAAATTATCATCGATCGCTTTTTTCCATGTTAGTGTCGATAAAAATAGCTGTCATTACACTTCGTTTGTCATACATAATGGACAGTATCAGTTTCTACGGGTACCTTTCGGTCTTTGTATCTTACCATCTGTATTTCAAAGATTTGTGGATTCAGATTTCGAGGATCTGATCTTGCAAGGTTATGTTTCACTCATACATCATAATTAATGCTATTGATGCAGATAGTAAGTGTTTGAAATACGTTTTCTCAATTGCTTCTGATTATGGACACGAAATTAATTTAAAGAAATATAAATTTTGAAGTCGTAAATTGCTCAACCATTAACTCGTCTCTTGGAAACGTTATGACTTCCATTTTCGTTACAATCAATGAAAAGATTTCAATCTTTTAAAAAGTATGTTTATGTGAAGAAACCGTACATAGCACCCATAATAAGCGCAGTGATACCATCCATGATTGATGATTGCCTACATTCTGTTTATTAGACGGAAAAAGACATCTAGTGCCGAAGAAAAATTTACCAGCTATAACCAGGTATTAAATGTTAATTCAAGCTTTGAAAAAATTTAGAACTTAACTTATAATCAAACACTTCAAAATTATTATTTCTTGTAATGTCTTCAAAATGACCATGAACAAGAATGATTTAAATACTGGAATAGCAAGTTGGGCATTGATATTAGAAAATTTCGACTACGAAGTATAGCACCGAAGGGGAACAGGAATAATACATATTGATGCGCTAAACAGATCCCCTGTTATGGTCATCACTCAAGACACCCTCATTCTGAAAATATACTAATGTTCAAGAACAAGATAATCACATTCGAGTTATCAAAAGAAGTCTTAAAGATTAAACCTCATGATGAATAATTAAGCATGCACATTTTCGTGGACATTTTGCTTCTAAACGAACTGAAACTTAAAGGTAAAACTGATAATTGTAGTGCACATTTCGTTCCTTGCTTATCGATTAATTGTAAATATGGAAAACAAAAAGATACGTTGCATTCTATACCCAAAAAAGATGTGCCACTTTGTACATATCCCATTGATTATTTAGTACTACTCTAAAGTTCTCATAAAAATTATATGTTTGCCATAATTAACTCATTCGCAAAGTTTGCCTGGCGTTAACAAAAAAAAAAAAAAAAAAAAAAAAAAAAAAAAAAAACCTACTGACAGGTCGAAGTAGTATCTAAATTA